CTCAGCACTTCAAGTCAAGAACGGCGAAAATTTCAAAGTGACCGCACAGCGTGTTTCAGCATGTTGAGCTTCTCTTGGAATCTCAATTTCACATACATTTCTTTCTAGTGTTTGCTCATTCTTGACCATAGAACTTTGTTGTAAGCAAACTTCTTTAGCACACCTTAGTTGCACCTCAAGTAAAAAATAAACCTTTTTTATTATCTTAGTACACTGGTTGCACACACTTTTAACACCATTTTAACTGATTTCTTATTTTGACCACTTTCACCTTTCTGTACTAAACAGCTTCATCGCTTTGTTTTCACACATCACATAAATACCTTAGGAGTGAACTTTTTTCTTGGAGCGTTGAGAAGGAATACAAGCCTATGGGTAATCGAATTCGACATAGCAAAGTCCGCAAGTACACACCATCCGATAAGGCCGTTTTTATAAGTGATTTTATTTATATATTATTAATGAATGAGATTTCACACCATCAATCCCCGTCAACCACTGAAAACCTGACCGCTCATAAATGCATGTGACTTCACACCTGGTAACTGACTTGTTTAATAAAAAACTATCGAACCCTAATAGCCCTGATTTTCATATACTCATAATTACAAATATATATCACCAAGCTCTGTAACTGTAGCGTTTGACTAAAATGAACACTCTTACACATCCCTGATTTTACTATGTGGAACCTACTGGCCATTTCACCCTGATTTTACAGTACTGATGTTTTAAAAACGCATTTTTCAATTTCTTTGTTTATAGAAAAGTAGATTAATAACACTTATTTCGATTAGAATACCTTGAAAACCTCCTCTTCCACCGGGACCTCCCGGGCTGAAACACATAGAGATTATCTAGGGATAGAAACGCAATCCAAGCGAGACCATGCAGTCCACATTTGGTTGCGTTTCACCCTAGACATTGCAAAACCACTTCCGCCAACGATTATCATCTCTATGGATCGTTCAAATCCATGGCGGAAATCGAATTGCAATTTCCACAGAGAAGACGCGCAGACTCTTCACACTCGGTTTTCATTTCGTCACTTCTATTTTCGAGTTTACGGTGCTGGTGTTGAGCTGGCATTCAGCCCATCCTGGAACTCTAAATCATACTCGTTTACCTCATCCCCTTAGGGATTTCAACAACAATTTATACGATCACCATTACGAAACTGATCCGGCATAAAGTAACATGGGTCGTAAAAAAATTCTCAAAAATCCGACACAATCAAATAGTATTTCTTCCTCGACCCGCTATACTTGAATTGCCCGACCACAAACACTTATGATGAACTTGTAAAGTGGAACGTCACCTTTACTCTGTCCAGAATACTTACCGCGCTACACCATTTCACCAAACACCGTAACTCATAATAATCGACTGCAATCTGAGGCCCAGTTGGGCAGAACACTTAAACTCTATAACATTAGTTTTAGCGATGAACAATGTCTCACATCACCGCACGGAGTTGCACTTTCTGCTAGGACACCACACGTGAAACATTTTTCAAAATCTTTTTTTCCAAATGTGGACTACGAGCGTCAGCCAGGAATCAACTTGAGACACTGTTTCTTCAATGCACAGTACACTGTTACCCAAAAAGTAAACGTAAAATTCTCACCCGCCACGAAATCCTCCTCTGCCGCCGCCGCCACCGCCACGCCCGCCATCATCCCAGCGGCTTGGTCCTCGACGGTCGCCTCCTCCTCCAAAGCCACCTCGTCCACCGCCTACAAAATTGCAAATTACATTTTCGCAAAAAAATAGAACATCCATGCAAAAAGGCCTGAAGGAGGATGTCGAAATGGCCGTTTGAAATAAGCTGTGTGCCGGCTGATGTATCTTTCAACGTTTATTACAAATCCGTGTTCCTTATCTGCTGCGCACCTGCTTAAACGAAGTTCCGGTGGTTTTTGGGTGGAGCATGCTCAAAATGGGTGCCAGTTGAACGGAGGCTCAATCTTATGTGAGCCAAACAGCTTAAATCACATAGGAGTTGTTGACATGAAGCCAACCACATAGCCGTATATATTGGGAGCAACATTCGGAGCAGCTTCAGCGTTCAGGTTCGCGATAATGCACGTCGACGTGTTGCAATTACAACAGCGCTTCAGTCCTATGGACGAGAACGCAGCCGCAGGCAGGAATGAATCCATCGCCACCTGCCACTTGTGTTCTCGTAGGAGTACAGGATAACAGGAAGTAAGGCGCTGCCTTCACACAATCTGAATCTCACCCATCCTTCTATACTACCCTCCCAAATCCCTAGCGGCTGGCGATTCAGACTGCGTGAATAGGCAACGCGTACCCTTCTGTTCTCCCATACGCCCTAACACTAGCTGCCCGCACCGACCGATTCTCGCCTGCGACTGCGTTCGCGCTTGTACGATTGGAGCGCTGCAGGATTTCCAGCGCGGCGACGCGCATGAATGCGACGTCTAAACACTGCCTTACGCTTGAAACTTGCATTGTGTGAGCATGCCAACCCCAGAAACCTCTTTATTCATAGAGGTACCCAGCTGACAAAAAAAGACGGATTTGTAATCAACGTCTATGGGCACATCGGTCCATGTACATCTCATTTCAAACGGCTACTTCGACTTATCACCCTTCCCTGGTAAGGCCAGCTACTAGAGCACATCAAAATCATACCTCTTCCTCCAAAGTCACCACGGTCCCACGGCCACGCCTCATTCCACCGAATTCCTCCTTTCCTCCTCCAATCGAAAACCTCCGTCGTTGACCTGTGTAGCCACGCGACCACCACCTCGTCCGCCATCAAATCCTCCGCGGCCACCATCGTATCCGCCGCGACCGCCATCGAATCCTCCACGGCCACCACCTCGGCCACCATCGAAACCGCCTCGACCGCCATCGTAACCACCACGGCCACCATCAAATCCGCCACGACCACCATCCGCCCACGACCACCATCGAATCCGCCACGACCACCACCAAAGCCGCCACGGCCACCATCGAATCCGCCACGGCCACCATCGAAGCCGCCACGGCCACCATCAAATCCACCACGGCCTCCACCATATCCACCTCGACCACCATCATATCCACCACGGCCACCACCATCATATCCTCCGCGGCCGCCTTCATAGCCACCTCGAGTACTGTATCCGTCAGGACCGCCCGGACGACCTTGAGCAGCTGAAAATACGCTTTATTCAATGACTGTTACGACACTTTCGAAAGATAGGTATGTAGCTCAGAAAATCTGAATCACGGCATCTCAACGTAAATAGCTTTTGGAGCCATTAAGTTCGCCTTCGCAACTTAACACGCAGAAAAAAAAAAAAATCTCAATTAGTCAGTTCAGTTATACCTCCAAGACCTTTATTTTTACGCCTTTATACTTGACAATTGATACATGATTTCCTCTAGTTCAATGTTCTGACAGTAGTTTTCAGATCGCGTTTATTCTTTGAGGGATTGTGAGATGGCTTCCATTCGCTGACTGGTCCTCAAACTGCGGCAGAAAATAGTTTATCGAATTCTGAAGGGTTTTTGTTATGATGACTGCTGCTTAACGCACCGCGAATGTGATCCCACTCACAGATCACTCTTGTAATTGAATAGAACAGTCAATAAATTATTAGGGGGGAGGGTATTAAAGCAATTACCGCAACAAGATCCCCTTCGAAAATCGATGCACAGTTTTAAACCGCTGACTTTGAGGACTAGTCAGTGAGTGGAACCAACCCTTTCTGATAATTATACTCAGAGCCGATTGTCGCGCATTTCGGGATAAAGGCGTGAAATAGAGTCCTCAGGACGTTGTTGCTATGACCTAATCGATTTGCGTCTAATTTTCCTCGAGGTCAGGTCGGTGAACGGTGACCGATCTGATCGACTTAAAGGGCTGCGCCGAGCCAAGAGGCTCGAAAAATCGGTTGGATCATAAATGGCACCGCTATTACGATCTTCTCAGGCTGTATGTCATAGTGTCCCAGTGGGGAGCAGTTTGGTACCACAGTTTCCGATTGGCACTCTGACTGATCTCCGAACGATGAATGGTGATTTCCCCACGAGGAGCAGTATAGCATACAGCTTGTGAACTACATCCAAGAAATGTAGGTAACCTGTACTTGGGTCTCCCATAGGCATGGGTGGCTGTTGTGCGCCAGAACCGTTGGCATAATATCCGCTGTACTGAAATAATAACCATGAAACAGGCGACAAAATACAAGCGAAGAAATAAACAAGTTACTTACATCAGTTGGAGCAGCAGCGGCTGCTCCATTGCCTCCGGGCTGCTCCTGAGCTTGTGGCATACCAGGAGCAGGTGGGACAGTCTGTCCTAAGGAAGCATAGTATTGCGCCCATGCTGCCTCGTACTCTTTCAAAGCCTGCAAATGAAAAGAAAATAAGTGAAGTGGACGGAAAAGCGGACTAAAATCTCTACAATAAGCCGACTAAAAGAAACCTGTGGATCTGCTTGAGCATAAGCATCGCCTCCTGCTGCAACAGCTGCAGCATTTGGGTCTGCGTAAGAGCCATTGTAAGCTAAATGATGCAAAATTACGGTAAAGTTGTCGGGAATTACGGTTCGTAAAAAGCACTCACCCATTTAATACCCACAGCTAGTACCAAGAAAAGATGTTCCTTCCTGAAAACTGTTTTATATAATTTGAGCAAATAGCCAAATGGCAGAGAATTCGACGAGTATCGTAAAGAGAAAAAAAAGGAGATGAAAAGAAAGAACAACGAAGAGACCACTTAGAAGGAGCACAAGCGCGTCTGATGAGAGGGAGCCGCGCTTCGGGTCGATACGCAGGCCGCGTCACGTTCCGCTTAGGACCGCCATGACGCCGTGGCAGTTGGGATTGGGGGTCATTTACGGGTCATCATAGCCTTATAGGTCGATGTTATTTTACGCCATAGAGGGAGTAAGAAGTTTGATACTGTTGGGGACGGTTTTTGCTAAAATACATCACAAAAGGAGGTTTGGAGCATAAAAAAAGGAGTTGGCGTTGTGCCAAGGATAAGTGAGAATCGAGGTCGCCAGCACATGTCGGTCATCATTAACGCGCACAAGCGGGTCGGGAGGCTACTTTAGCGCAACATATTGATTTTTAGTCCTGGTTTTGGCACCAAGCCAGCATGAGTGACCAGTAGGTTCGATTTTCAAATGCCCAACATTTTGCATATGATTGTTTCAAATAAAGAATAGCCCTGGGTGTGGTGAGTCATTTTATCTATTTACTGAACTACTCCCGGAGGGTGTCCTTACACCCCAGCTGCTATGCAGAATTTTAATTTTGAAGCAGAAAAAGCCCATATTTGTGTAGCCCTGAGAGCCTCTATAGATTCATACCTTTTTGTCTTATTCTAACAATTAGAAACAAAGAAAAATAAACCTAAAACACAAATGGTTCGTTTCGTCTCTCATCCCAGAGGAACCATCATTATCTTGTCAACCCTAAGGCTCGCACGTGGGGTAGAGTAGGCAGACAGGGACACATAAGGGAACTAACTGAGGAAAAAGATGAAAAATAGGGGGGGGGGCGTAACGCCCATGCAAAACTCATGCAGTAAAGAGAAGATAAAATAAAGGTGACACTAAACTGAAAGCCTCGAAATTCGGAGAAGATCTGGAATGAGTCCTGGTCCACGAACAACTAATAACTCAATTCCTTCAATGGCGCCAACTTTCTGTTTTTCTCTGCGCTCTCTTGCCTGAATGGCGCTTTGTGACCACTCTGACCTTTCACATTCCAACTTTTCACGCATACTAAGTGGCTCATCCACCCCGGTGTCCCCTCCCTTCGAAAAAGCTCATCTCCTGGCTCGCATCACGTTTTTCGTACCTTACGATGTCCTTAGCAGTCGCAGTTCTTGTTGCTCTGCGCTCTGGCCTATCGTGGCAGGACTCCCCACCAAAAGTTTCAGTTGTCACTTAACTGTAAATGCCATTTACCATGGTGACTCTGCCAGCTTCGCAAGAATTCACGGGTTACACTACAGTGAAATTTGTAAATCCGTAACTGGTGGAGCAAAGTAAAGTGCAAAATGCCCCCTCCCCTTCCCCGTCTCTAAACTGCGCCGCCCGCGCTTTTGTTTTGCGGCAGTGAAGAATTGACAAACTGAAGAAATGAAGAATTGCAGAATACAGGGCATCTGTCAACCCGACATGCTCTCGTTGCGAGAGCCCAGAGGTGTTTCCTTATTGCATCTACTGACCCAGCAGTTGAAGGAAGAAGGCAAAGGAAGAGGAAGGAGATAAGGAAGGAAGGAAGAAAGAGTAGGAAGGAGGAATGGAAAAA